TTTTATGATATCGTCAAACATATATTTTATTCAAAAATAAAAACATCATCGCTTTCTCAAAATCACATAAAGTCATATTATAACATCGACTGAGATAAAGAATAAAATGAAATATTAAAAACACGATGTATCTCGCTGCATTGCGCGAGTACGCTTCTAGTAACTTTAAAATAAATAGAGAAAAAATTACATTAAAATAGAACCAACTTTTCTTTTATTCTTATTTGGGGAAACCAACTTTTAAAACCTTTATTTTAGGATGTAACACAAACTTTTCATTTATTTAAGGAACATGTTTACCTGTTCAGCAGGTAACCGGCTATTGTGGTAAAAAAATTCAAAGAAGAACTAAACCTATATGAATATCTAACATTTTTAACGAAAAAATAATTCAAAACAAAGAAAAGGTTAAACAAAAAGGCTAGATCCCAACCTATCCACTCGTCAACATCGTCTTTACCTTCAAACTTTTGTCGAGTTTCGACGGGGGTTGCAATCCACCCCAACTTCGGTGACTTTAAATCACCATTAATTTTTTATAACAACGTTTCGTCTCTCCTGTCTTCACTCATCTCCATCAGATCTGTCACCAACTCTCCCTACACCATCTCTACCCATCTCAAAATGATATGCATTTCAAGAGAAAAAAACGAAAATCAGTCGTCGGAGAGGTGTAGTTGCAAGTAAGAAGCCAGGAGTTGGGGGAGCTGGAAGGTCATCATCAGAAAAAATACAACTCTCTCGACACCACCTCTATCTATTTTCATGTTCACCCACAAATTCAACAAAAAAACCAAGTGGTAGTTGAGGGTAGTTGTCAGAGGTGTAGTCAGTGAGGTGTAGTCGTTGGAGAGATGCAGTCGTTGGTACGAAGCCAGGAGTTGGAGGAGCTGGAGGGTGGGAGTTAATATTAATATATGTTTTAAAAACTAATGACATGTAATTTAAATTTATATTAAAAAATGACATTCAAATATTAGTGGTTCCATGACATAATTTCTAGGTTATCAGGTAAACAAGTCCCTTAAATAAATGAAAAGTTTGTCTCAAACCCTAAAATGAATGCTTTGAAAGTTGGTTCCCCAATAAGAATAAGGATAAAACTGATTCCATTTTAATCCAATTTTCCCATAAATAAAACCGCATTTTGGTCATTTACATTATTTCATTTCAATTACAAAACTACATTCCGTCAATCAAATACAAGGATTCCAATTCCTTTTAAGATATTACATTCCAATTACAACCAAACTTAGTCAAATTTCATTCCAGTTTATGTAAAATCAAATCTCTTTAGTGATTCCAATTCCACTAAATTTCATTATGCGAACCAACCACTAGGGATAATAAACTGATGATTAGGCATGGGCCGATTAATTATCTCTATCCTTGTCCCTGTCCCCGTCCCCGTCCCCGTCCTTGTCCTCATCCCCGCCGAGAAATATAATCACATCATCATCCTCATCCCCAATGTGGAACATGGATCCCCAACAGGGAAATGAGATTTTTTTTTTCCGTTTATAAAAGTTATTTAAAATTAAATATGTGAGAGACTATACATGTTTAAATCTCAAACATTTTCAATAAACCTATAACCAAAATGAATTTAATTAATACAAAAAAACCACAACATCATATAAGAATTAACAACCTAAAAACAAAAAGAAATTCAATTTAATCTAAAAAAACTTAAGTTATATGTACCAAAAGATATTGAGTAATATAAAACCATATCGAGTAATATACAAAACTTATCGAGTAATTGTATTTTGACTTGATATCCAAGATATTACATATTAACATTCAACAAATAGCAATTTTATATTATAAACCTAGTAAGGAAATAAGAAATTATGAATTACCGTTTTAGTTGAAATAAATAAATACATACATATAAATATATAGAGGATGTTTCAAATACAACTCATCACATTTGTACAACCAATGCAACTCAATCGTTTATACAACCAATGCAACTCAATCAATTAAGATATTTATAGAAATGATAAGAGTTCATTTATTATGATTTGAATGTTTATATTTATGGAAATGATAAGAGTTCATTTATTATGATTTGAATGTTTATGGAAGATGACTAGGATTCATCAATTATGATCAATATTTTATATTAAAAAACAATCAAAACTTTTATGAAATCACATATTCATCAAATTAAATGAATGGTTGAGATTGAGTTGTATTGATTAAACAAATGTAAAGGGTTACATAATAACTCACATATCTCTCTCTCTCTCTCTCTCTCTATCTATATATATATATATATATATACACACACACACACGTAGAGGAGCGATCAAATGAAAACCACTCCAATTTGTAACAACCGTAAAAACTACTCTCATCCGTCGTAATCTTATGAAATTTTTTCATGAAATTGCTTAATCTTGTGAAATTATTTCATATAATACTTTTTTTGATGAAGTTGTTTCATATATGGTTATGAAATTGTTTCATATACTACTTAATGAAATTTTAATGAAACTGTTTCATGTATTTCTCTAAAATTAAAATAATGAAGATGATAATATCCATGATTAACATCCTCCACAATAAAAATGATTAATCAACCTCTTATAATTACAAAAAAATGAGCAAAATGAAAAATTATAATTGGTGGAATGAGGCTTTTACGGTTTTTACAAATTGAGTGGTTTTCATTTGATCGCTCCCCTATACACGTATATATATATATATATATATATAATTAATTAATTAATATATATATATATCCCCATCCCCGGTTTGTCTCAAACGGGGATCCCTGTCCCCATCCTCATCCCCGATTTAGCAGGGAATCCGACCGGAACAGGTGAACCGGGTTCCCGACTGGTCAAGGTCCATTCCCATACCTATTGATGATATGCAGTTCTAATTAATGATGACATGGCAAGTTAATAATATCCATAAAAATCAGATATAGTAATTTTCTCAAAAAGCAAAAAATTTACAAGAAAGAAATATCTTAACAAAAGATGTCACAAGTACAATTATTCATTTTGTATCCTCATAATTTATCTAAAATAAATATTTAAAAAGATGATTAAACATAAAATAAAAAAGTGACGTTATTTTGATTTCTTGCCCTGCTTTTTCTTTATAACCTCATCAACATACATAATACCTTTGCCTTTGTAAACCTCGGGGGGTTTACAACTACGAACAGCAGCAGCAAACTGGTGCACCCTTTGCTTGTCTATTCCGGTACAACAAACGATATTGGGTTTGAAACAAAATACTCGAACAGCAGGAGGCACCGATAACTCCACCTCATGACTGTACCCCAGTTTCAGAAACAATAAACGTCCTTCTGATTCCGCTCTAGCTTTGAAACCAACCCCGACTATCTTCAGAAACCGAAAGAACTGAGCCTCCATTTCAGTGACCACTGTCTGCAAGCACCTAACCGAGAGAGAAAATCTAAAAATAAGAACAGTAAAATGATCGAATACAAAAACACCCATCAGTAATAAGCAGACACGTTACCCTTATGGCACACCATGGTGCAATGCGTGTTTTGATTTCTTTTACCCTTCTAGCATTTTACGTTTTAATATAATCTACTTGTATATGGTCTTATTATATCAGAGTAATAGTAGAAACATGTGTGTGTGTGTGTATATATACATACATATAATATACAAATTTGTTGCCATAAGCAGGGACTTGAAAACCACGATGACTCTTAAGGCTTGAGGCTCACGCCATGTCTCATGTCATTTAGGACTTTGGTAATAAGAACAAAGGGGAATGTAAATTTGCGAACTTGTTTCAAACATGCAAAACTGTATCAACATTGCAACCTATTCTAAAGTGAGTTTATTTTTTAATGATCCTGAAACGACATTCTATAACAAGATTATTATCTGAGGACTTGTAAAACTTCATGAAGAGAAAAGTCGTGATGCTATGTTCATCACGAACGAATATTAGTTATAATTCCAAATAAACTATAACTAGTAGACTCTCTGAAAGTTTCTACAGCTTGAATGAATGAAAACCAATCTGCAGTCTTCTGAAACTATGCAATTGCAGTATGACTCAATCAGACAGAGTTGGTTCTATAGGATCATGTCCAAAAATTATACATAAAAGCAAACCTAAAATCTACTACATCCAAGGGTGGATTTAAGATAACAAAATGTGGTTGCACCCTTCGGCTTATAACTTTTTTGGTAATAGCAGCAGAAATGAAGGAAAAACCACTTGGGTGTTCCAAAAAACCATTTGTAAGTTAAACCACAAGGGTAGTGCCTGATTGGTTTGAGCTTGGCTCCAAAAGTCAAAAGTACCAGGAGGTCCCAGGTTTAAATCCAAGGAGGAATAAAAATCCCCTTGTGGCCACGGAGGTTCAGATGTGGTGACTCTGGGCTATCTATAAAGCAGGTGGTCACCCTGAGATTAGTTGGCTAGCATAGCGGGTTGGATATCCAGGTTAATAAAAAAAAAACCATTTGTAAGTCATTTTAATCAAAACCTACTGTTTACTAATTAATCTTTGTTATATTTTATATTACGTTAATTATTTTGTGCCCCTGCTAAAAAAAAATATGGATCCGCCTTTAGCTACTTACTTGGAAATGTTGTTAATTTAACTAACTGCTCGCATTGGTACAGAATTCATTGCCTACCCGATCCTTGTTCAATATAAGATGTATAAAGCAAGAACTTTGCAAATGCTACACATTGATCCTAAATTCAATGCCTATGCAAATCCAAAAAAGTACCACAGGCATAATGATCTACATAGAAATATACAAAAGATGCAAATATACATGGAATATGAGGATATCCATCTTCATCATGTCTTAAGATAACAAATTTAAGTGCATGTTTGTTAGCAGCTTAATGGGATTCATAACTTATTAGGTCAGCTATATATATGACCGATTGGTAGTGGCTTAATGATGTAGAAAGTGGCTTATTCACTAAGCTTCTAGGAGTAGAGATGGCAACGAGGTCGGGCGTATTGGGGATCGCAATCAGGGCCAGCCCTGAGATTTTGAATGCCCATGGAGGAAAGCCAAAAAAATGCCCCTTATATGTGTGTATAAAAACCAAAATAAACTATTTGAAGGGGTTTGGAACCTAGTCAATCTAGCCGGCTCATCCCCATGCCGATTTCTTTTCCTATTTTGAGCACCAGAAGGTTGTGATCGAGGAAACATACTCAAGTAGTTAAATTGTTAAACAAATGATACGATATAAAGAATAGAAAAATAACATCTAAACTTGACTGTTTGTGGTTCGTGTTGTGAAATTGCCAAGAAAGTGGATAGATTAAGCAACTTGGACAAATTGATAAAGAAGAAAACATAAGCATCAATCTTAAGCCTTTGTCCTATATTAACCCGCTTCAAAACAGCTCCTAAAAAGCTTCTAAACAGCCCTCAAAACAATGCCCGAACAGCCAGAAAAGGACCAACTATATAATTGAACATCCTTTCTTCTAAACA